GGCAATGATTTCTTATTCATGACCACAATAAAAGCACCAATCATAAAGAGAAAAATTGATATAGTAAAATGAAGAACTTCTGTTCATTAAAGATAGCATTAAGCAATTAAAAAGGAAAGATACAAAATCAGTATCTGTACTAGTAAGATATACATCCAAAAAAGGACTCATAGCCAGGAGAAATTAGTAAGATAAAATAAAAGCCAACAGAAAAAAACGGCAATTTATGGAAGAGGTTGTCCAAGTAAATCATTAAATATAAAAACATGCACACCGTCATTATCCATCATATCAGGAAAATCCAAATTAAAACCACAAGGGCTATTTCGTCACCCACCACCAAACTAGCTACAATCAAAAGAATAAGCAATACCAAATGTTGTAAAATGTGGAGTAACTGCAATTCTCAAACAATACTACTGAGAATGTAAATTGGTACAAGCACTCTGCAAAACTATTAAACTTATATGAACATCCTATGACCCAGCAATTCTAATCCTAGGTATACAACATAACTATATATACAGATATTAATCAAAAAACACTGCAAGAAAATTTGTAGCAATACTATTTGTAAGAGGCAAATCAGGAAACAAGCTAAATGTCATGTCTATCAATAGTAGGATAATAAACTGTGTCATAGTCACAATGCAATGCAATGAGTGAAATAGTGTTACATGCAACATGGGTAAATCTCATAAAGTTTGTAAAGTAACACAAAAGAATGCATATTATATGATTCAATTTATATAGAATTCAATTTATATAAAATTCAAAAATAATCTAGAATGTAAAAAATCAGGATTGTATTTACCTTTGGGAGAGGGCATATGGTTATTAGACTGACAGCAAGCACAAAAGGACTTCTAGGATGCTAATAATATTATGTTCCTTGATTTAAATATGGATTGCATAGGTATTATTTATAAATAATAGAAATAATGTATTTGTATGTATTAATACAGAGTATTAATAATGTATTAGTATGTATTAATACATAGACAATACCTATGCACTAATACATATATACTACTTGTTAAAATTTATTGAGATAAAAAATTATGATGCACCCAGCCAGTGTGGTTCAGTGGTTGAGCATTGTTGACCCATGAACCAGGATGTCATGGTTCAATTCCTGGTGAGGGCAGCACATGCCCGGGTTTCGGCATGACAGGTTTCTGATTTCTGTCAAAATTCAAATCGAGTTATCTGCCCCAGAAGGTAGGTTCATCTTCTATAAGAATCATACACAAACAAACCTTATATGTGTTTTACTAAAGCTTTTTTGATAATTATAAAGCATCAACATCAGTGTAAATTAGAAAAAAAGTTACCAAATTTCACAAAAGGAAAACTGAATCATGAATTAAATAAATTTTTCAATAAATATAGTGATTCGCTACAAGCATTAAGAACAGAAACTCAGGTTTTCCAAAGCCTAAGGAACACTAAAATATGCATATAATTATTCTTGCTTTACTATCATCCTGTCCTGGTCACATATTATAGTGTGTGCAAAGAAAAAAATACAGCCCTGGCCAATCTGGCTCAGTGGATAGAGTGTCAGCCTGCAGACTGAAGGGTACTGGGTTCGATTTCAGTCAAGGGCACATGCCTGGGTTGCGGGCTCAATCCCCAGTAGGGGGTGTGCAAGAGGCAGCCGATCCATGATTCTCTCTCATCACCAATGTTTCCCTCTCTGTCACCTTCTCCCTTCCTCTCAATAATACATGTAATGTAAGTTCTTAATACTGCTGCCTCTACGTAACATTAACAAGTACTTCATTTATGTATTTCATTCCTGTTTGAATATTTATACAGGTTTCTGATTTCTGTCAAAATTCAAATCAAGTTACCTGCTCCCAGAAGGTAGCCATCAAATGTTCATATTCTATAAGAATCATACACACACAAACAAACCTTATATGTGTTTTACTAAAGCTTTTTTGATAATTATAAAACATCAACATCAGTGTAAATTAGAAAAAAAGTTACCAAATTTCACAAAAGGAAAATTGAATCATGAATTAAATAAATTTTTCAATAAATATAGTGATTTACTACAAGCATTAAAAACAGAAACTCAGGTTTTCCAAAGCCTAAACTATGGATTCTTCCTCTGAACCACTTCCCCTGTAAGTACTAGATGGATAGAAACCTAGCTATTTGCTATCACCATGTTTCTCAAAACATGTTCTACCAAGAATGTTCACTAAACAAGTAATTAAATTTAGGAAAAGCAGAGTTAACAAAAAAAAGTTTGTTTAATATAGTAAAGGCTCTTAGAAATCCTGTACTATTTTGGATTTCCAAAAGCATGATCCCAAATTATTTAACTCTCAAAAGTCACAAAAGGCTGGCCAGTGTAGCTCAGTAGTTGAACATGGACCTATGAATCAAAAGGTCACAGTTCAATTCAAGGCCAAGGCACATGGCCAGGTTGCAGGCTCGATCCCCAATATGGGGCATGCAGAAGGCAGCCGGGTCAATGATTATCTCTCATCATTGATGTTTCTATCTCTCTCCCTCTCCCTTCCTTTCTGAAGTCAATAAAAAATATATATATTTAAAATCAATAAAAATACATTTTAAAGTCACAGAATACCAATTCTTATGAATAATGCAGTGTACAATTTACAAATGCTATGAGAAGCTAAAGACAGTAGACACTTGCTGACTGTCTAGTAATTCACTGTATTTGTTCAAAATGCTTTCTTCTAATGAAAAAAATCTCTATCTTAATTCTCTACATTTTGACTAGATATATTAAATACATTGAAAAATAAAGCATTTGATTTTGAATATATTTGAGTAAAACAAGAAATCCAACCTAAATGACTGTTTTAAAAGATACTAGAAATAAAATTATTCTCATTCAAATTACTTCTCTTGGCTAATTTTAAAAACCTGCTCCCCTTGCTTTGCTACCCCCTCTAGGTACCATTCTCTGGAAGATTTTAGCCTCCAAATTCCTAACACCAAATTATTTTAACCTCTTTAAAACTTTTAACTTAATACTCCTTTAATCCACTTCCAGTTTCCAGTAACATACAAGGAACTTAGAAGTTGTTACTGTGTACTAACAAGTAAGAAGCTTAACAAACTGAAAAAGATAAAATAAAATAAAAATCAACAATTGTTCTTAAATCCATTAGACAAGTGGAATCGTGGGGCAAACCACTGCAAAAACTGAGAAAGAGACAGGTGGACAAAGAGAAGCATAATTTGCCTGAGCAGAAACCCAGAAACCTCCCTGAGAACCAGCAACAACAGAGTAAGAAAACTTGAACTGTGATTGACAAATTATTGAAGGCTTGGGGGTGCACCAACCCTCAGAGTTAAAAACTTCAGGAACTCTACGGCTCCTGCTAGGGAATAGCTGAGAAAAATCACTTCATGTTCTGGCAGGGGAGGGAAAGGAACCATTTTGAGAAACACCAGAGCATTCTAGTTCTTCATAATAAGGGAGAATTTAATTTATCAGAGGCTAATCTGCTGGGTTTTCTTTATTTATCAAGAGTCCAACCCACCTGAGAGAAGGGAAATACCCTACACCTACCCCAGCCAGCTCTAGCTTTCCATGTAAGGAAAAGGAAATACTCAACTCCAGCCCTCTATAGCTATCCTGTTCCAACTGAGAGGGTTAAAAGAACAAAAACAAAAATATTAAGTAGACAACATGAAAGAACAGAAAGACAATGTATGCAAAAAAATGTAAATTCCACAAAAGTATCAAAAAGAAATGTTAGAGATCAAAATACCATAACAGAAATAAAGATTGCCTTTGATGGGCTCAATAATAGCCTGAAAACAACTAAGGATATGACAATAAAAACTTAAAAAAAAAACTGAGGGAAAAAAACACACAGAATATCCAAGAATTATGGAACAACTACAAAAAATATAAGATACATGTAATGAGAATACCAAAGAAAAATAGAAAGACAAGAAATCTTTAAGCAATAATGACTAAGAATTTCCCCAAATTGTCAGACACCAAACCACAGATCCAGGAAACTAAAACACCAAGAAGAATTACGCTCAAACATACAATATTCAAACATCAGAAAATCAAAGATAAAGAAAAAATCTTCAAGGAAGCCAGAAGGGGAAATACCTTGCCCACAGAGGAGCAAAGATGAAAATTAAATCCAACTTCTCTCAAAAACCATACAAGAAAGAAGAGAGTGGAGTGAAATATTTGAAGTATTGAAAGAAATCACCAACGTAGAATTCTGTACTCTGTAAAATTATCTTTCAAAAGTGCAGGGGAAATAAAGATTATCTCAGATCAAGAAAAACTGAGGGAATTTGTTCAAAGATCTGTTTTGTCACAAAAGTTAAAAGTTTTCAAAGAGAAGAGACATGATATAGATCAAAAAACTACATTAAAAAAAGAAAAAAATCAGAGAATGAATACATGAAGGTAAAACAAAAAGTTTTACTTTTCTTATTAACTGATTTAACAGATAAGTTTTTTTCTAATAATAACAGCAATAATGTATTTGATTGTATGCTTATATATAAGTAAAATGAATGACAGCAACAATACAAGAGAGGGAATTAGAAATGTTTTGTCATTATAAAGGACTTGCACTATCTGTGAAGCAGTATAGTACTGATTTAAAGTGAACTTGAATCAGTTGTAAATATATACTGCAAACTCTAGGGGAAAAAAAAACAGAAAAAGTAAAACGAAAAGCTGATTTGCTAAGAAAAAATGGAATCATATAAAATAATCAAAACTGCAAAAGGCAGAAAAAGTGTGTCAGACAAAAACAAGAACAAAGGCAACAAATAAAACAATAATAAATATAGTAGCTATTAAACCAACTGTATCAATAACTTTAAAGGTCAATTGAAAGATTGTCAGACTAGATAAAACACACACACACGCACACACACAAAAACAAGACCCAAATATATATTTCTATAAGAAATCAACTTTAGACGCGGCCTCTGCCTCCGGGCCGCAGCCGCGCGCCGGCCTTCCGGACTCCGACCCCGGCCCGTCGTGTTTCAGTTTCAGGTGAGCGACGACCGGGAGATGCGCCTGCAGTTCGCCCGGAGCCCCCTGCGTTTCTGAGGCGGCGGCGTCGGTCCTGTGGCCTCAGCCGCGCTCGGTGGATGAAAATCGACCTCGGCCCTGCTCCCCTCAGCGGACAATTCGTGTCTCCCAGGAGTGTCTCCGGCTGTTGGCATCCCTCCTTGTTCTTTAAGCTACAAAAAGCAGCAGCTGAGTTTATTTGAAGTCTGCCCTACCAAGTGTCCATGATGCTGGGCCCTGAGGAGGTGAAGGCTTTGTGGTCAAGCTCCGTGGCCTGCCCTGGTCCTGCTCTATTGAGGATGTGCAGAATTTCCTCTCCGGCTGCATAATTCATGATGGGTCCGCAGGCATTCATTTCATCTACACTAGAGAAGGCAGGCAGAGTGGTGAGGCTTTCGTTGAACTTGAATCCGAAGATGACGTGAAAATGGCCCTTAAAAAGGACAGGGAAAGCATGGGACACCGGTACATTGAGGTGTTCAAGTCCCACAGAACCGAGATGGATTGGGTGTTGAAGCACAGTGGTCCAAACAGTGCTGACACTGCTAATGATGGCTTCGTGCGGCTTCGAGGACTCCCATTTGGATGCACCAAGGAGGAAATTGTTCAGTTCTTCTCAGGGTTGGAAATCGTGCCAAATGGGATCACATTGCCTGTGGACCCTGAGGGCAAGATTACAGGGGAAGCCTTTGTGCAGTTTGCCTCACAGGAGTTAGCTGAGAAGGCTCTAGGAAAGCACAAGGAGAGAATAGGGCACAGGTATATTGAAGTGTTCAAGAGCAGTCAGGAAGAAGTTAGGACATATTCAGATCCCCCTCTGAAATTTATGTCTGTACAGCGGCCAGGGCCCTATGACCGTCCTGGTACAGCCAGGAGATATATTGGCATTGTCAAGCAGGCAGGCTTGGATAGGATGAGGTCTGGTGCTTACAGTGCAGGCTATGGGGGCTATGAGGAGTATAGCGGTCTCAGCGATGGCTATGGCTTTACCGCTGACATGTTTGGAAGAGACCTCAGTTACTGTCTCTCGGGGGTGTATGACCACAGATATGGAGATGGCGAGTTCACTGTCCAGAGTACCACTGGACACTGTGTCCACATGAGAGGGCTGCCGTATAAAGCTACAGAGAATGACATTTACAACTTCTTCTCTCCTCTCAACCCTGTAAGAGTCCATATTGAGATTGGCCCTGATGGAAGAGTGATGGGCGAAGCTGATGTTGAGTTTGCCACTCATGAAGAAGCTGTGGCAGCTATGTCCAAAGACAGGGCCAACATGCAGCATAGATACATAGAACTTTTCTTGAATTCCACAACAGGGGCTAGCAATGGGGCATATAGCAGCCAGATGATGCAGGGCATGGGAGTATCAGCCCAGTCCACTTACAGTGGCCTTGAGAGCCCATCTGTGAGTGGCTGTTACAGAGCTGCTAGCTACAGTGGCCAGAACAGCATGACTGGATATGACTAATTTTATATTTTATAAAGCATTTGAGTTATCATTTTTCATAGGCAACCAACAAGCAATGAAAAGCAGTTATTACTCTAGAAGAAGCTGTGGAAACCCATTTTGCACCATGAGTTTGTGAAATCTGGATTAAAAAGTTACCTCTTCAGTGTTTTCTCATGCAAACTTTCTTCTGGCATGTGATATTGAGTAAACTAAAACTTTCCAGTTTTTTGGTGTTTTTTTTTTTAATATTTTGGTAGCGTATTTCAGGGGTGATGTTATCTGACTTCAACTAGTTTTAAGTACATCAAATGTGGATCTTTTACACCATATCACCATGAACACATTGGGGAGATGAGATTTTTGGGAAACTCAAGGTGCTAGATCCCTAATTCAAAGAGGAACATTTCTCATGTTTGTTCATTCTAGTTTATTTTCATTTAAAATCTCTTAGGTTAAGTTTAAGCTTTTTAAAAGTTAGTTTTGAAAATTGAGACACATTACTAATACTGTAGGAATTGGTGAGGCCTTGACTTAAAGCTTTCTTTACTGTGATTTCCTTTTGGGTGTATTTTGCTAAGTGAAATTTGTTAAAAAAAATTTTTGTTAACTAAACTTTTTTCTTAAAATAAAGACTTTTTCACAATGAAAAAAAAAAAACAAAAAAGAAATCAACTTTAAATTAACATAAAGACACAAAGATTAAAAGTAAAAAGATGGAGATTTAAAAGTTCTTATCAGCCCCCCCCAAAAAAAAACCTGTACCTATATGTAAAAAGTTAAGAAAAATATATAATGCTAACACTTAGTTTAAAAAAAAAAAAAAAAAAGGCGAGTAGCTGTATTAATTTCAGACAGAGCAGACATCAGAGCAAGAAATAAAGATAATGATACAGGGGTCAATACTCCAAGAAGATATAATATTTAGCGTAGATGCATGTAACAACAGAGTCAAAATACGTGAGAAAAAACTGATAGAACTGCAAGGTGAAATATATGAATTCACAATTATAGTTGCAGACTAACAACCCTCAATCAGAAATGGACAGATCCAGCAGACAGAAATTCATCAAGGACACAGCTGACCTCCAACAATACCATCAATCAACTAGATAAAATTGACACCTATAAATTATTCCATCCAACAAGAGCAGATAAGATTTTTTTTAACTGAATTTTATTGAGGTGACATTGATTAATAAAATTATATAGGTTTCAGGCATACAATTCTATAATACATTATCTGCATATTGTATTGTATTGTATTGTATTGTATTGTATTCACCATCCATAGTCTAGTCTCCTTCCATCATCATTTATCCCCCCTTTACCCATCTACCTACCCCTACCAGCCTATCATTCTGGTAATCAACATACATATGTCTGTGTCTATGAGATGTTTTTTTCTTTATCCTTTTATGTATTTCACCCAGTCCCACCTCCACCCTAAAAAAAACTCTCCCTTTCAACAGCTGTCAGTCTGTTCTATTTTGTTGTTTATTAGATTCCACAAATAAGTATAATCAATATGGTATTTGTCTTTCTCTGATTGGCTTATTTCACTTATCATAAAACCCTCTAGGTTCATCCCTGCTGTCACAAAAGGTAAAAAGTTCCTTCATTTTTACTGCTAAATAGTATTCCATTGTGTAAATGTACCAGAGTTTTTTATCCACTCATCTACTGATGGACACTTGTGCTGCTTCCAAATGTTGGCTATTGTAAATAATCCTGCAATGAACATCGGGACACATATATTTTTTCAAATTAGTGTTTCGGATTTCTGTGAATATATTCCCAGAGGAGGAACTGCTGGGTCATAAAGCAGTTTCATTTTTAAGTTTTTGAGGTAACTCCAGACTGTTTTCCACAGGGGCTGCACCAGTCTGCATTCCCAGCAACACTGCATGAGGGTTCCCTTTTCTCCACATCCTTGGCACTTTGTGGTTTTTTGATTTAATGACAGCCGTTCTGACAGGTGTGAGGTGATATCTAATTGTGGTTTCAATTTGCATTTCTTTGATGTCTTTGATGATTAGTTACACTAAACATCTTTTCATATGTCTATTGGTCATCTGTATGTCCTCTTTGGAGAAGTGTCTACTCAGGCCCTTTGCCCATTTTTTAATCAGGATTGTTTTTTAGTGTTGAGTTTTATAAGTTCTTTATAAATTTTGGCTATTAACCCCATATGAGATGTGTCATTGGCCAATATGTTTTCCCATTCAGTAGGCTGTATTTTCATTTCGTTGATGATTTCCTTTGCTGTGCAAAAACTTTTTAGTTTATTGTAGTCCCATTTATTTTTCTTTTGTTTCCCTTGCCAAGGAGATATATAAAAAAAATACTGCTATAAGAAATGTCTGAGATTTTACTGCCTATATTGTCTTCTAGGATTTTTATGATTTCAAGTCTAACATTTTTAAGTCTTTAATCCATTTTGAGTTTATTCTTGTGTAAATTGGTGGTCTAGTTTCTTTTTTTTTTTTTTTTTTTTTGCCCATACCTGCCCAATTTCCCCAACACCATTATTGAATAGACTATCTTTACTCCATTGTACATTCTTGTCTCCTTTGTCAAATATTTATTGACCACAAAGGTGTGGATTGATTTCTGGGCCTCTATTCTATCCCACTGATCTATGTCTGTTTTTATACCAATACCATGCTGTTTCATATACATTCGCATAATTCCTCAAACTTCATCCTTCTTTCTCAAGATGGCTGTGCAGATAACACATTCTTCTCAAGCTCAAATAGAAAATTCATCATAGACTATGGGCCATAAAATTTAAAAAAATAATAACAAATTTAAAATAGAGGTTATACAATGTCTGGTTTCAGGAACAATGGAATTAAAATAAAAATCAGTAACAGGAATGTAGTTTGGAAATCCCAAAATGCTTAAAAATTAAACAATACCCTCCATATAATACATGTATCAAAATATATTTTGAACCAAATGATAAATATACAACTTATTAAAATTTGTAGTATCTAGTGAAAACAGTCCTTAGAAATTTACAGCACTAAATGCATAAATTAGAAGAGATTTAAAATCAATAATCTAATCTTCCGTCTTGGGAAACTAGGAAAACAGCAAATTAAACCCAAAGCAAGCAGAAGAAACAAAGTTAAAGTAAAACTCCATTTTTTGAAACTGAAATTAAAAACAGGGTATCAATTGAGAAAAAACAATGAAACCAAAAGTTGGTTCTTTGAAAAGATCAATAAAATCGGTAAGCCTCTCTAACCAGAAAAAAGAAAAAAGAAGATAAATTACTAATATTAAAAATTGAAGAGGGACATCAGGAGAGAAACCAAGATGGCGGCATAGGTAAACACTGGAGTTTGCTGCCTCGAACAACCACTTCAAAAATACAAAAGACGGATCGGACATCATCCAGAACCACAGGAAGGCTGGCTGAGTGGAAATTCTACAACTAGAAGGAAAGAGAAAAGCATACGGAGACTCAGAGGAGGCGCAGTGCAGAAGTAAAATACTAAGGTGCGGAGGTGCATGCAGAGAGTGCTAGTGGCTGATGGCGCGGTTGTCGTTTTCAATCGGGAGGGAGTCTCAGGCTCTGAGCTCCAGTTCCGGGCGAGTCTCTAGGGGCCCAGACTCAAACAGGAGAAGCAGGACTGTCTTGCATCGGTCGGAACTCGAGGGCAGCTTTCTCTCAGAGGGGCTGGCAGGGATTTCCAGGATACTGAGAACCAGAGACACCATAACTGCTAGCCCCGCCCTGTTGATCCCCTGGGACCTGCCCCACCCAAGCCCTACAGGGAGGCTTTTGCTGGATAGCCTCAGGCAAAGGCTAGATTAGCACCTCCCTAGAGATCCAGGAGCCCCAGAGGTCAGAGTAGGATCATCCAGTTTACAGCTCCGTGGAACCATAAAGGACACACTCAGGGGGCAGACTCAGTGAGCACCAAAGCCCCATTGAAGCAAGTCTTGCCCCAGAGGGGTGTCTCCAGCACAGAAGTTCTCCCACTGCAGACACAGCTGATTCTCACAGCCTATTGGCCTGGAGGTCAATTCCTCTCAGTGATACCTACAACAATCAAGGCTTAATTATAACAAGACTGTGCACAAAGACCACAAGGGGGTGCACCAAGAGTGCACCTCAGGTAATTGGGGAGGCTGAACCACTGGGCCCTAGAGGACACTCAGCACAGAAAACCACTTTATCAACACAGGGAAGCATAAAAAATGCGGAGACAAAGAAAAAGGACACAAATGACAGAAATGGAGGAAAGCAAACTACTGGATATAGAGTTCAAAACCACACTTTTAAGGTTTTTCAAGAATTTTCTAAAAACTACCGATAAACTTAATTAGATCTACAAGAAATCTAATGAGACCCTCGAGGTTGTGATAAAGGATCAACTAGAAATTAAGCATACACTGACTGAAATAAAGAATATTATACAGACTCCCAACAGCAGACTAGAGGATTGCAAGAATCAAGTCAAAGATTTAAAATACAAAGAAGCAAAAAACACCCAACCAGAAAAGCAAAATGAAAAAAGAATCCAAAAATATGAAGATAGTGTAAGGAGCCTCTGGGACAGCTTCAAGCGTACCAACATCAGAATTATAGGGGTGCCAGAAGAAGAGAGAGAGCAAGATATTGAAAACCTATTTGAAGAAATAATGACAGAAAACTCCCCCTACCTGGTGAAAGAAATAGACTTACAAGTCCAGGAAGCACAGAGAACTCCAAACAAAAGGAATCAATAGAGGACCACACCAAGACACATCATAATTAAAATGCCAAGAGCAAAAGACAAAGAGAGAATCTTAAAAGTGGCAAGAGAAAGAAAGTCAGTTACCTACAAGGGAGTACCCATACGACTGTCAGCTGATTTCTCAACAGAAACTTTGCAGGCCAGAAGAAAGTGGCAAGAAATATTCAAAGTGATGAACGCCAAGAACCTACAACCAAGATTACTTTATCCAGCAAAGATATCATTCAAAATGGAAGGTCAGATAAAGAGCTTCACAGATAAGAAAAAGTTAAAGGAGTTCATCACCTCCAAACCAGTATTATATGAAATGCTGAAAGGTATCCTTTAAGAAGAGGAAGAAGAAGAAAAAGGTAAAGATACACATTATGAACAACAAATACAAATCTATCAACAAGTGAACCTGAAAATCAAGTGAATAATCTGATGAACAGAATGAACTGGTGATTATAATAGAATCAGGGGCACAGAAAGGGAGTGGACTGGCTATTCTTGGGGGGGAAAGGGATGAGGGGGATGCGGGAAGAGACTGGACAAAAATCGTGCACCTATGGATGAGGACAGTGGGTGGGGAGTGAGGGAGGAGGGTGGGCTGGGAACTGGGTGGAAAGGAGTTATGGGGAGGAAAAAAGAGGAACAAATGTAATAATCTGAACAATAAAGACTTAATAATAAAAAAAAAAGAGGGACATCAAAAGACAGTAAAGAAACACATTGAGCAACTCAATGCCCACAAGTTTAATAACCTAAATAAAATGGACACAATATGCCAAAACACACACAAGAACAGACAATCTGAATAGGTTATATCTATTAAAGAAATTGAATCAACAACCACCTTCCAAAACAGAAAGCATCATGCCCAGATGCAATCACCAGTGAATTATACCAAACATTTCAGGA